CAGAGCCGAAGAACACCACCAATTAGATCGAGGCAAAGACCCCCAAGGGAACACATTAGCTGGGCTATCAAGAGGCCATTGTTGACATGGAACCTTCACAAGGCACCCTATCAGTGCGCTCTCCTAGAAAAAAAAAAAGATTCCAATAGCATTGGGAAGGAAGCCCTCAAGTTGGGCCCCCGATCGTTAGAGTCCACTTCGTTCGCCCCTTCAGAAGGAAGCTTATCATGATCTCCCCCTCAAGGATTGTGCTAACGCCGATGGTCAAGAAGAAAACCATTTCTTTTGAGAGACAATAAAATACGTCTTAATGAGGATTCAAAAGATGAACTTCGACAATGAAATCTTATTCTGAATGTTGCACTTCTTGCTTCTCTCGAAGCACAACATTTGTCGATCCAAGCTTTTATACGTCATTTTTACGTACTTACATCTCTGATACAAATAAGAAGAGAGCTAGTAACAACCTGGTCTTGCTAATACCCAAGACACCGCCAAACCAAGGGAACACTACAAAATAAGCCTAAAAATGGAAACCTTGGAAAATGTACTAGAATGGCCTTGAAAGGCATAAAAAGGGTAGTTTGGGATACCCAAAAGATGCTTGTAAAGTTTTGTTGAATCCAAATATGTTTATCCCAATTAGGAAAAAATTCAGTTATCAAAGACCAGTCCTAATCATGTTGGAAAGAGACATTACAACTATATCCAAGGGCTTCAAAAGAATACCATACTACTTCCAATGCACCTGGAACATCGAAAAACCCCTAAGGACCAAATTTGGGCAGAATCGGACATCCCAAGGACATTCTGGGCCCAAATTACTACAAACGAATAGGTTTTACACTATTGCGGTGCAACCTCACCAAACCAGTTTCCAATCATGGAGGCTGTGTTTTCACATCTCAGGATGATCTTCAAGCGCCCACAGGTCATTCATTTGGAATCAGAACAAGCTTAAATTTAGACACAAGCTAAGTCTCTAGGACTCGGCTATTTTGACATGTGGCACGCATCATGACATAATTCAAAACCAAAACTTTTCTAGAGAGAAAATGAGCCCGAAACCATAGAAATCAGAGTTTTGAAAGAAATACATCTCGAATTTCGTGAAGTGATTACTAGATATCCATACATTAGATCATTGCAAAGTCAGGTCTGATGCGGTCGTATCACGAAGGGCTACATGCTGGTATAACTTTTACACACAATCTTAGGTTGGATAGTGCAAGTTCCAAGATTGGAGAGGGCAATATTTCCCAGTCATCGGAATCCCTTTTCCCGACGACCTCTCGAATTCAGAAGTACTTCAAGCAAGAACCAAATCAGATAAAATTTGGTGCAAAAATATTGTGACAGTCTCGTCTTTAATTTGCTAGAAAAATAAATACTCTGAGCACCATGTGTCATATTGCATTGATGGCCAAAGTTCACAACATAACCGGATTTTTATCCCTCAAGAAAAGTCTGTCTCAAGATGATCAAAATACATCAAACTCTTCATAATCAAGCAATCATCAAGGCTACTATGATGAATCATTTGAACCACAGCCAGAAACATTCATAAAAGTTCCCAAGATCTGGCAATGACGAAAGGCCCCTCAAAAAGGGATGGTTTTGCCATTAGCACAAAAGGCTTAAGGCTCATTTTGATCATTATTCCTAAATTCGATATTTTATTGTAATTTATTTTAATTATAATTGGGCTTAGTTTTGAGCATCCATCCCTGTTTGGTGTATCCTCTATATAAACAAGCTTAGGTCAATTGTAAAAGGGTTGGATCATTGTATTAAGCTTGTGTCCACTTGTCTTTTGCTTCTAATCCTTTGATCTAGCGACGAGAAGAGAGAAAAATTTCAGAGAGATAAACTAACCCTAGCCCAGCCAGATCACGAGGTCCCATTCTCTATCTCTCCCTCTCTTAGGCTAGGCCACGCCTCAAGCTCACTCTCTCTCCTCTTTCTTCCTCTCTCTCGCTCTACTCGTTGCTTGCCTCGCACAGTAACCTAGAACCATGACAAACACGCGGTCCTGACTTTTCCCCCCTCTTCCTCTCATTCTTGTTGCGTTGTGGGTCTCGGAGCCGCAGAACTCGTGGTCCCGTCTCTCTTGGTGATCTTCCCCTTTGCGCTTCGAGCGTAAACGTAGCAAACCTGCGACTCCGTATAGCATCCCGTTATCCGTCATCCGCTCAAATCAGTACCCTTCATAGTCATTCCAAGAGTTCCAACCCTCGGATCATTGCTCTAACTTCCTTTCCATGCAGTCGAGTTGAGCCACGAGAAATATATATGTTCTCTCCCTCACTCACTCGGGTGGAGCATTCCTGAGTCGACAGTCAAGAGGGTTCTAACTCTTTAGTTGTTCTGATGACCTGAGCACATAGTGTTTGCATGGATAGCAGAATTATTGCCACTATTTCATCCCTTGTTCTTTCTTTTTCCAGCCAGTCCCCCGTTTGAGTGAACCTTTGTAGAGGAATATCATCGAATTCACATTGAAGTTTTCAGCATAAGAGAACAAGGCGACGTGTTAAAGCTTGAGGAGAGTTCATGTCCAAACTGCGTTGGCAGACAATCGAAAGGCTTTGCAATTGTTCTAAGAGGGCGAACCACCCAGGAGTGTCCCCGAACGCCCAAACAACGAGGTAGGTGCCTAACCGTGCCCCTGTCGTAAAATCTTTCTCATTCTTGGTTCCTATCCGTATAAGGTGAGCATGCGTACGCACACCAACAAATATGCAGTGCGCGTGAACCCTCTACGGTTGTTTAAAAGAGGATTTTATCCTGTCGTCAGCGTGAGGAAAAATCAGGTCTGACCAGTCATAACAAAGGGAAAAAAAGGTCAAAAGCAACTTTTCACCGAACTGCCTAATTTAGTCATTATCAGTGGACTAGCCAGTCCACACATTGGACTGAGCCGGTCCACTGATTCATAAAAAATTCACAAACTCAGCCGGTTGGACTGGCCAGTCCACCAGTTTAGGACCAATTTATAAACCCAACTAGTTGGACCGACCAGTCCACCGGTTCATGACCAATTCACAAACCCAACCATTTCATGGTTGGTACCCAACCAAACTGGAGATAATGCCGGTTCAGTTTTTTCCAGTTTGAACAAGCCTATCCAGTCTCATTCTAATAACACTGGTTCGGAATACTTAATGAAGAAGAGAAACAAGCTCATTCAAAGCCTTAGTAAGATTTTCCTTATAAGTCATGAAGGAATACTTGTAATTTCCTTCTACTTTTTCCAAATTCCATGTATATTGGCCCCTTTATGTATTTGTGCAATATGTAAAGAGTGTGTACTCCTCGCACATTTCCTTCTACTTTTTCCAAATTCCATGTATTTTGGCCCCTTTATATATTTGTGCAATATGTGAAAGGTGTGTATAACATGCTCCTATGTGAGTATTGTACAGCAACTCCCTCAGACATAATAGCTACTTTGGAGGATTTTTTTTGTTTGAAATTTGAGATCCACCCACTCATCATCTTATTTTCAAGGAAAAAATAGATTTGGACTTTTAGAATATCTAGATATTTCCCTCCAAAAATTAAGTGGTTACTTTTAATCTTGGGAAGGCATTTTTTAGGCACTTAGAGGGTGAGAGCTAATTTTTTTGTTTCTTTAAGATTGGCCTCTAGGTTCTAGAAGCTACATTTGTAAAATTTGATAAATAAATAAAAAATAAAATAAAAAACTCTTAGCTTGAGTTTTGCCCGAGGACGTAAATTGATAGTATGCTCCTTTAGAAGCATGAAATACTCTCTCTCTCTCCCTCTCTTTCTCTCTCTCTCTGGGAATGAGATTCGGAGGTTTTATATCCGTTCACACCCACACCTTGGAACGATGTACCAAGAAATATAAGAGAGTCTCTTGTCCCCATCATGGGGATAGTGGAAGGGTGCACAAGCACCATTTCAATGGCTCAGATTAAATATGGGCACATCCAATAACTACAAAAGAGTTTTGTATTTTATTTTTAAAATGATACTTACCTAAAATTTGGATTATAAATATATTTTTATATAGCGAACTAAATACAATAATAAAAAAATATTTCTAAACATAAAACGACCAAAATACACTTAAACTGTTTAAGGGTATTTTGGTCTTTTTTGTTCGAATTATTTTTACTACTTTTACTTTTATTGTATCCACCATATAAAAAAGCAACTATCACCTACATTTTTGATAAATATTTTAAATAAAAAATAAAATAAAAAATTGGGCAATTGGATGATGGACTAGTATCAATTTGAACCATTGAAGGGTTCATGTGAAACAACACTATAGCATCACTAAATATAAGGAGTAAAATGTTCTCAATTCTCTTTATGTTTTCTCTCCTTTTATTTTTTTTGTCCCCTTGTTTTCTACTTAGAGAGTTTGTGTACAAAATTGGGGAAAACCTTGTACACTTTATGGAAATCATCAATTCAACATTGCATACCCCTGACTACACGAGTATAGGTAGTTATAGTAGTAAGTGTCATATGACATCTTGAGTTCCATTCCTATCAAAATAGAAGATGACCCTTCCCCATTATTCTGCAAGAAAAAAAAAAAAAAATCATCACCGCCTCATCCCCTTTTCTATTTTATGCCCTGGTTACAGGTTCATTTTCATCCCTCTTCATCAAAGAATGTCCCCCTAATATAATGATAATTGGGAAGAACCTCCAAGCTTAAAAAAATACAAGCATGAAGGGGCCGATAATTACGATCAAACCTAAAGAACCCTTGAGTTCCATTGCTATCAAAAGTAGAAACATTCTTGACAAGCCCTATTCAAATATATCCCATATATATTCACCGAAGTTCATAAGAAACGTTGCTGAGAGCCCTAGTTTCAAACATAAAAGAGCCACAAACTCCAAAGGCAAAAAGCCACACATCCATTCTCCCTTCTTCAATCCAAGGACATGATCCTCTGAAACTCTGCACTATTTTCAGGTGGGATTCCCAGACAAATGCCTAGCCCTCCCTTGGTCTACTCACTTGCAAGCAACATGACGAGCCCAGTATTCACTGTGATTGGAGTGATGCACCCAGCCTCAGCCCATTCAAACTCGAGCCCCTCCATCACCAGCCTCAACCAGGATACCACCGAGAAGCTATCCACTGCACTAGGCACTCCCTTATGGACCTCAAGCCAGTCTATCCCAGACCTAACATATGCATCAAACAGTCTCTCAAGTCCCTCCTGAACCTTGCTTACACAGAAAGAGGCCCCCTCCTCCCTCAATTCTCGTGCGCTTGCTCTTGCAAAGCCGGGAACCAACGCATTGCCAGCAAAGTTTGCTGGCAGGGGCGGCACCATCCTTTTCCTTACGTCGATCGGGAATAATACGGTTGATGTGCGTTCATCTGGCAATCCCAATGCTAGTGTCCTGGCTCTCCATATTTTTGCAACCATAACCTGGAACACGGTGCACCTCTTGATCTTTCCATCTTGTAAGGCCTCCTCCTTCATGCAATCAATTTTGTGTTGTGGAATGAAGAGCAAATGTGGAGGGGGGGGTAAGGCTCGTGAGAAAGTGGGGGAGTTAAGGGGGTCTCGAGATGAGAAGGTCAGCATTGATGCCTCTGTTGGTTTGGAGTACTCAAAATGAGGGTGGAGGATGATGGGTGGCCTGCGTGCTTGGAAAATGGTGCAGTCGGGGCTCGGGACAAGGGCCAGGCTGTAGCCCCGGGTGCAAGAGGCGAGGTTGGTGAGGAAATGGTTGATGGCCACACCGTCTAGGTTACAGTGGTTGGCACGTGATGCTAGGGCTAGGCTCCCGCATTCAAATTAAGTTAGCTGCCATGACAACCAGAAACTCGATGAGTACTCGGCGCGCGCCTTCGTATTATTGAATGAATAAGTTGAAAAACTATGTGATTATTATTCTGAAAAATTAAGAGAAATTTTGATTTCTAAATGCACGAAAAGAATGAGATTATTTTATTTTATTTTATTTAGGGGAAAGTAAAAAAGTATATAACGAGACCATTTACTTTTAATGCAAAGTGGTCACAATTAATTTTGACCATCGGATGTGAAATTGAATTGCTACATTTATTTCATTAACCAAGCTCAAAGTTCAAAAGAAATTTTCCCTTTGTGACACACCCAAGCTATTAGATTTCACATAGGATGATTATAAGTAATTATGACCTCCTTGTATGAATATCATCATGAATTTGGTATATGGTTAAGCAACTTGAATATTAGGTAAGTAAATGTTCCCATTTTATTTGTGATAGCCTTCAAATATATTTTCATCTTTATTTATAATGTTTAAAGCTTCAAAAATAGTGTAGATCGACATATCTATGAAAATCTTGAAAATTGACGATCCAAAAATGCGTTACAAAATACACTACTTCCTAAACTTGAAATCCATTTTTTTCTCATGTTCACGCATCTTGATGTCAAGGTGATCAATTTGAGAATATTTGAGCATCAAAACAGCATCTTCTAGTAGAAGTTTTGAGGTAGGCTCAAATTTGATTGTTTAGAGCCCCAGCTCTGTATAAACTTTTCTCTTCATGAAATACCTCAACAAATTTATCTTGAAATAGTTATTTCACCTTAGTGAAAATAAACCTCTTTAAGATATTTTAATTGACTATCTTGCACTCAGGATCGATTTTCCCCTGTGCTTTCATAAAATACACAGCATGATTTCATCAAAATTATCACCTGACCTCCATATTTTATTGAAATATATGGAAAGAATAATATTTTAATCAGTACTTTACCCTCACAAGTTTTAAATTATATTTTAAATTCTCCAACCTTAATTTACATGCATATCATTCATAAACGCAATTGCTTGTTTGGTATGTTTATAGCAGGGTTGTTCGAAAAAGATTCGTCCAAGTACTCAATTGATATTACGAGTTTCAGAACAACCAAGATAATCTATAGTTTATATATATATATATATATATGTGTGTAAGTAAAATGACGTTGTGAGACCCTTCCACATCTATGTGTGTAGGATCCCAAAGGATCACCATTAAATTTGGCACAGATCTCCAGAAAAGTCAAGTCTCACACCTATGTGATAACTTTTCTAGAGAACTGTACCAAATTTAATGGTGATCATTTGGGGTCCAATGTACATGAGTGTGGGAGGATCTCATAGAATCATTAATATATATATATATATATATATATATATATAAGAAAAATATATATATAACGTTTTTTAGTTTTTTCAAAATGTTCTTAGTGCGGGTCTCCAAGTTCTAAATTGACTTCTTCTTCTTTCTTTTATTTGTCTAGGTTCTCGATTCGAAACTTCAAGTTCCATACTTTTTCTTTATTAAAAGTGTGGTTAGGAACGTGCATTTTCAAACCGTGTATACTTTTATTTTTTATGAGTAAGTGTTTTGGAAATTTATTTTCCACACTTCTTATTTATTTCAAAAGCAAAATAACTGGTTCAGAACTTCAAGTTGCGAGTTGGCCAAACATGTATCTTAGGTTCTAAGTGGCTTCACTCAAGAGTCACTTGCATGGTGATCCTCTAGATCATAGTACCAAAAGGTCCTTTGTTGAACCATTTGTATACTATGGTTCCAAAGGATCACGACGTGAGTTACCTTTTAAATAAGCTGCATATACATTTTGGGACTTCAAATTTGGAAGAGTCCTAGGACACATTTTCGGACGGTTGAAACTTAAGAAGTTTCGAAGTCCATTGCTTGTCTTTTCTTATGGAAAAAGGGTTCGGAATTTGAAGTTTCGAACGACTCATTCTTGAAAATTTATAGGAAAATATGATCGAAAACTCTAAGTTCCGCACAACATTTTTAACCAAAAAAAAGTTTCAAAAATGGAATTCTGAACCACGAACGACACTAACAAATGAAACAAGCCTTCAAAACTTCCATTTTCAAAAAAAATAAAGCCAAAAGATTTCCTACTCTTTTGGAAGTGTAGTATCCATGTACTTTTTCGGCAAAACACATGTTAGAGATACCTTTTAGATCCCAAATTTTGGGGATGCAATCTCTACTGCTAATAGACAAACCTCTTGTTAAAAAAAGAAAAATTTAAATAAATTATCTATGTACTAGAAGATCCAATCCCTCAATATTGCATATAGACCGTCCAATTTTTTAAAGCTAGATCTAAGTGTTACAAAACCCAAAATTCAAAATTTTTCTTTTAAAAATAATTATCTAGTAATTCTTATGTGGTTTTCTAAAATTTTGGACAAAAAAGAGTTTCCCAATAGGTGTTTTGAGTGAAGGAGTTGATACACAAAATGCTTCTACAGGAGCATAGTAAATAAGCTCAAAAATAAAAAAACTAAAAAAAATTGGACATGCGTGTAAATTTAAAAATGGGTACAATTTGTATAGAGTCGAGGCTCTAAAAATTCAAAGTAAAATGCACCTTCAAATAGTGTCGAGAAATGTGGTTTCAATACTAGAAATATTTGTGATAGCCTTAAAATATATTTTCATCTTTAATTATAAAATTAAAGCTTAAAATAATGTAGATCGAGCAGATCTATGAAAACTTGAAAATCTTGAAAAGTGATGGTCCAAAAATGCATTATAACGTGCAATATTTTCAAAACTTGAAATCTATTTTTTTTCTCATATCTATGCATCTTGATGTCAAGATGATCAATTTGAGGATATTTGAGCATCAAAACAACATCTTCTAGTGAAATTTTTGAGGTAAGCTCTAATTTGATTGTTTAGAGCCTCGGCGCTATATAAACTTTTTCCTTTGAAAATTGCATGAAATTTATTAATACCACAAAAGAAAGAATATTTGCATTAATTTTTTTTTATAATTTAAACTATTAATTATGAAAAAGTTTATTGTGCGCCACATGCAGTATAAGTCGACCATGGGTTTTCAAGTATTTACAAGCATTTAGAATAAATATGCATTTCCACTTTAAATCTTGCAGCATAAAAAAATTGATGTAGATTTATAAACTAATAGAATGAACGATGAAAAAGAAGTTGAAAAGAGAATTTTTAAACATGAAGTTTTAGGATGCACTTTAGAATTATTAAATGAGTATTTTCAAAGAATTATTTATCACTTTGTTGTTTTGGGTATAGAGTATTGTCCCAATAGTAGATTACGTAGTGACCAACTTCAATTGATGATTCTAAAGTGCAAAGACTGTGCAACTTTTTTATTGTCGATCTAATTGTTTAGAAAGTCAAAACTCAAAATTATAATTTTTTCATTGCTTTTGAAAATACTCGTTTAAGGATTCTAAAGTCGTCATTATCATCCAAGCTTTGTCCCAATTTTGGATCAGCTACAAGAATTATGTACCTCCATTCTTCTCTATCAAGGGCCATACCCTAAGTAGTATGTAGTCTCCCTTCCGAAATTGAAGTTAGGGAATGACTTGGATTCAAACCGACTAATACAATCATGAAAGCGAAAATAAAAAGATAAATTTTAGGAAAATCTTGTTATACTTCCACTGCCATATATAAATTATAGGCTTCCTACCAAATCCAGCCATCCAATTTAGATGGATAGTTGAGGGTACTTGCCTTAAAATATCACAAGCCAACTACTGACCATTTGATCTAAATCTAACATCTCAGAGTATTTTATTTTTAATTATTTCTCTACAAATCATATGAATATGAAATTTCGTTCGTGCCATCCTCTCTATGGGGCGCACCTAAAAACAATATTACAAAAGCACTTTCAGAAAAATAAAATATCCAAAATACCTTCAAACTTTTAAGGGTATTTTGGTCATTTTATTTTATCTAGAGTATATTGTTTTATATATTTTACTGGTGCGAGTTCAAGGGAGGAGTGGAAGCCCAAAATTAGGTATCAAAATATTTTGAAAAAAAAATAAAAAAAATCATGTATAAACATGACAATGTGATTGGGGCCATATCAGCCGTGTATTCAAATTGAATGGCTGGATGGAGGGAAGTATGTAAGTTATAGGAAAAAGCTCTTGTTAGCTCATAGGCTCATGGAGCAATGTAAGTAAGCTTAACGGCCTAGATTGAATCTAGACCGATCCAATGATCACACTTGTATTTTGTAATTGAATTTTAAGTTATTTTTCTACAGATCCAAATTACTTGAAATTTGAAGCGTCTATTCTTCAAGACTAGTCGAATCTAATAAAAATATCAAAAAAAAAATTCGTATAAAATAAATTGATCAAAATACTCCCACAATGTTCTGGTGGTATTTTGATCAATTTATTTTATGTGAATTATTTTTTTAATATTTTTATTAAGTGCGTTTTGATGAAAAAAGTTTATGCTCAAATTTTCATGCTATTTGGATTTATATAAAAATATAAAAATTATATTACCGATATACAGTTCTGACCATCAGATTGGCCAATATTCAATCTGAGTCGTTAGGCTTGCACTGTTCTATGAGCCCATGGACTCACCCTAATATCTTCCTAAGTTATGCATGGTAGGGGAAGTATAGAAGGCTTTCCCTAAATAAAAAAGTTTATAGAAGGTTGCAACCTTAAAATGTAGAATTAAATATTCACCTAAAAAATCTATTGGAAGATGTTGTTTTAATATTAAAAAACTTTCTAATTGATCATCTTGACA